AACAAACTTAATTACTAACAATTGTAGAATTAAATCCTAGATGCAAAATGCGACATATTATTTTGTATTTTTATTAATTTAACAAATAAACATGCATAGACAAATACAAATAATTATCCAAAATATCACAAAATTGCACACCAAGGAAAATCATTTTATTTTTGAATTTTTTGGGAGTAATTCTTTCATAGGGCAAAAATCACGTGCTCACATCAAGTATGGTGGCATTTTGAAGGTTTTTGGAATAGAGTGGGAGGCTTCCCATTCATTGTATGGTTGCTCGACGAATCGATCGACGTCCCGTTTTGGTAGCAACTTCGGAGCGCCCAGTATTTTATCAATACTTTCTTGATGGTCCTTCATCTGATCACAAAGCGCTAAATTGTTTGACCAAAAGATATTAAAACACTCTTGATTAAATCAATTGATGAGATGAAGAGGTAAATCTCATCTAAGCATAATAAAATCTAGATTAGATGGTGCCAGGGTAAAATAAGGTGAATGATGCCTTCTATTATGTAGGAACTAAATGATTATTCGTAAATGTGAGAACTTCAAATTTAAGAGAATATAGCAATGAATGCAATTAGTAAAGACCTAGGGTGATGTAAGGATTTCGATCTGTAATAAGCAAAGTTGTTCTTTTGTTATTCCCTCCATTTTCTTTAGGATGGCTGCGAGTGCGTTGTTACCCGCATCAACAACAATATGAGTGTTACCTGTGCGTGGAGTTTCTAGATCGTCGGCGACTGTTACAACGTCTGTGTGTATTGTGCCTCTGATATCCCTTTGAACGGGTTTATCAAATATGTTTCTCAAAGTGTTTGTCAGCCACTCTTCCAATAACCTTTTCAAAGCTGGTGGTGCTTCTCTTGTTGCGGATGTGGAGGCTCCCTTTTCGTGTGAAACAGTCACGCTTTCGTATGGGGGTGGGGGGTGAGGTATCTCCCTCAAGTGTAGTGCTCGGTGTTGCATTTTTGTTATCCTCCCTACCGGTTTCGTTGATGGAATCCATGAGGTTGGTTGTGACACATGCTATCGCTTTTAACCTTGCGTCTCCCTTTTCTGCCATTGTTGGTTTTTACAAAGCTATGAAGAGGCGATTATCCCTTTCAAGGATCTAGATGAAACTAAAATCTTAGATAAAGAAATTCCCATAGACGATGCCAAATTGTTTGACCAAAAGATATTAAAACCCTTTTGATTAAATCAATTGATGAAGATGAAGAGGTAAATCTCAGCTAAGCGTAATAAAATCTAGATTAGATGGTGCCAAGGTAAAATAAGGTGAATGATGCTTCCTAATATGTTGGAACCAAATGATTATTCGTAAATGCGAGAACTTCAAATGTAAGAGAATATAACAATGAATGCAATTAGTCAAGACCAAGGGTGATGTAAGGATTTTGATCTGTAATAAGAAAAGTTGTTCTTTCTTTATTCCCCCTTATAGAATGTTCTTTTTCCCCTCATTATAGGGGACAATCCCTCTTTTTACCCTCAAAAAGGTACAACACAAGGAATATTCGAAAGACATATTCCTATTGTTCCCTGTCATGCTAACACTACTGCAGACGTCGTGCGTTCACTAGCCGCTGTTAGTTGTCACCCTTCATAACAACCGAAGGATGCTGCATCATAAGGACCTCGTTCTTGGCTACACTCAGTAACAGTCGTGGTCGTTCAAATTTCAACCTATACAAGTAAGTTTATGACTAATGACTGGAGGTTGATAAGTTGAGGTTTATTTGGGACATTTGTGTAAGTTTTCCTTTTCTTTTTTTCGAATGCATTAACCCCAGATAACGAGTTAGTCATAAATTCATAATTGGTAGAGAAAATGTCCAAATATACACTTAACAATTGCGATTTGTTTTTTTATATATGCGTCATTTGACTTTTGATTCATAGAAGTTCCACTGTTATCTTTCATAAATATATCCCTCCTATTAATAGGTGTCCACTAATGCCTAATGGTTTTCCATTGGTCAAATCACGTAGGGATAAATTTGAATATTTTAAATTGTACATGAATATATTTGGATTTTTTCAATTGTTAAAGAACATATTTTAATTAAAGGATATATACAAACTACGTTGATAGTTTAGAGGTAAATTTAAATCTTTTGTTGGTCTAAGTAGCTCCGACTAACGCTGAGTCAAGCTAGACAACTGTTAAAGCGAGAGGCAAATAAGAGATGGAATTAATGATACAGGGCTTTTATGGATCGAAGGGTAAATACATCGGACAAAATATAAAATAAACCAAATACATCAAAGGTAAATTTGAACCTTCAACTGAAAAGGTGTGTTATGGCAAAATGGAGGAGCTCACAATAGAAATGTCATTAAGCAATGACCTTTTATGAAATGGAGACTCGGCTGAATAAGAATTTATCCAATTAACCAACGTTTTGATATTCATTTAACTTTCTTTTAAATTATTTTTATTATATGGGTGGAGCAAGGAAGGAGAAAGGTGAAGAATAATAGTGAATTGAATCCTCATTTATTATCTGGGAGATTTGTTTGACGAAAAAATATAAACTTTCAGTTAAACATTACATTTTATGTAATGGGGGGTTAAAATTAATTAATGATAATATCTCTAGATTTAGAACTTGACAATATGGATAACGTAAGATAAAGTCGGTGGAAAATTGAAAGTAATGCACATTTAATATTCCAAAAGATGTGAGCAATAATAGAGGAATATCAAACAATAAATAGCAATAAATGACATTTATGTAAACAAGGAGAATGATTCATCCAATAATGAATGAGATAGATGATTATTCCTCCTGACAATAATGAATGGCGGATAAATCCAAGAATGTTTGAACTATTCTCGGATATGATGAAAAGGAAAGAGAATCTTCTTCAAGAGAGAGAATCTTATGGGCTAGATTATGATAAATACAAGTAAAGTTTGTATCTTTTCTAGAGAGAGAATCTTCTTCTCAAAAATTGTTACGATGGTAGAAGCAGGCAATAAGAAGATAAAAAAGAACAAAGGAAATTCCAAGTACTCAAAAACGAAAGAAACTTATGGGCTGAGTTCCACTTTTCAGGGAATGACAAGAATTCAGAGGGAATGTGATCTTCGGTTTTTACCCAAATGAATCACTCCAGCCAGCCTAGATCCCGATCTTCATCGATTCCCAAAAATAGAGCTTAACTTGCCCGATGAACGAGCTTGATTAACCCACCTCGGAGAACTCGGGGACTGTAAAAACGAAGCAGGTGGTCGATGGTAAATCGAGTGCTTCAGTGTTGCTAACAAAATAGCGGATGAGGATTACGACCCTCTGATGTGTGGCTAGAATTCATGGCTTAGCACATTATATACCTTGCGTTTTACATGCTTAATGTTAAATTACACTTTGTTTGAGTGTAATGGATTCTATTTTATGTGTAGGTGCATCGGAAATGAAAATAGAGCTAAAGGGATGCTTAAACGTCGAAAGTGCGCTCGAGAATGGTGAAAAGGAGAAGCCGGGCAAAAGCCAGCTCGACCAGGCTTTAGCCTAGCGAGGCCAGCTTAAAGCGAGGCCCAACCAAGCATTATCCTGGCGATGCCAGCTTAAAGCCAGGACTAGCCAGGCGTTAGCCTGGTGGCGCCAGCTTAAAGCCAGGCTGAGGCTGGCGTTAGCCTGGTGTTTCCAACCTAAAACCAGGTCTAGTCCGAGTTTTGAAGACCTTATTCGTCTCCTGGTTTGACTAAGACTTAGCTTACACATTTAGGTATTTTCCTACACATATAAATAGACCTAAAAACGCCACTTTTGGGGGAGAGATCGAGTTTGAGACAGACTTTAGACCTAAGGAGAGCACGGGGCCGTCGTGGAGACCAGGATTCGACCTATGGAGGCAAGAACACACTAGGAGCAAGACGGAGAATTCTTCTACGAGTTTTTCACTTCCTTTTTCCTATTTCCATTATTGGTTATGAATTCTAGTATTGTAGTTATGTATACTATTATGAATAGCTAATTTGTTATCTAGAGTTTTGGTGGAACTTTTTGGAGTATGATTTTTCTGTTACGTTAATATAGATTTGCTGTAGTATTTTCTCTATTTGTTCAACTACGTTATTATTGTGGTTGGTTGAAGAGCTCTCAATCGACTGTTCTTATTTAGTGTGTATTACTCGGGAGAGAGTGCATATTTAGATAGTTGTTGAACAACATCACTCCTAACGTATGTGAGGGATCAATACTGACAGTTTAAAGGCGAGATTAGGGATAACGAAACCTTGGGTGCGATCCGAGTGAACCGTACTTAATGCCAGCTAGCGTAATTCGGGAGAATATGTCTAGTAAATTGTGGTAATTACTTGGGAAATAGTTACGACCGACTGAGCGCTGATGATCGGTAAAGAATAATTAAGCGAATTTATAGAAAACATAGCGGGAAGGATTCTGACAATTGGGAACATTATAACTCTAGACCTCCTTAATCTTGTTGCTAACCCTTAGTATCTTTAGATGTTAATTTACTATTTTAATTTGTTACTTAATTAGTTAAACACAAGAATCTTAATATCTATAAGTTAGGAATTATTCAAGCTTGTCTTCTTGGTGATATTGAATAGCTGTAGCTAAGCCTTAGTTCTCTGTGGGATTCAACTCTGAACTTGTAAATCAAATTATATTTGCAAAGACCGCTTAGTCCGTTTTATAAGGCATAATTGAGCGTGATTATCCTTTAAAAAGACGGGTGAATATTCTGCCCGAAACAGACCTCGTACCTTTTGTAAAAGCTAAGGATTATGGGATCTACCGGAGCAAGTGTGAAGGGATAAGTATAAATACTTAGATACCCCTCAACATGAGTAGTAACGTCCTCATTGGGACCAGGGACGACCACTTCTTTGTCCACCATTTCCAGTCCTCCTGAATTGTAGGGTGTGTATTCTCAATAATGGAGCATATGTACCTCTATACCCCTTGCCTCAGTCTTGTTGACTTGAGGCTTTCTCGACCTTGAAATCGTTCTCAATGGAGCAGCCTCCGGGGATTTATGATTTTGTAAAATTGCCCTCAATCGGTACTATGTAGACTTGTTTATAAGCTTAGTTTGAACTTATATTGACTTTGCTTAACTCCAGTTTAGTATGATTTAAGAGGGATTTGAAATACATCTTCAATCGTGGCGTATACACTTTCAGTGAAGGCTCTTTGGTAACTATAGCAAGTTAAATGGACTTGCTCTGAGCTGTGCCATCTTAGCTGGCAGTCCCAGCATCTCCAAAGCTATAGACTATTTGAAATGAAGATGATTACAAACTAAATTACCAAATTCTTTTCGGAAAAGACTTCAGAGAACATGCATGACTGCTGAGAGCATCTTTTAGATTACGAATTGTTCATAATAGTCAAACAAAACTGCCTAAGTGGTTTGATCTTATTAAGAATGATGAAAAAACTTTTACTTCATTATATTACTCTTCTCCTTACATCTTAACTTTTCTCATTTCATGTCTTAATTCCATTTACTAAGCTTTTAGGCTCACCTTTTCTTTCTCTTGGGCAGATACCTATTCCTAGTGACAATGTGTATGCGATAAACGATGCACTATCAGCAGAGAGTGCGACAGATGATTACGAGACTTGTCTAAGACACTTGGTTAAGACCAAGATTGTAGACATATCCGATGCTACTGGATTTCCAAAATTTGATGTGATGCTATTGGGTATGGGTCCCGATGGGCATGTAGCTTCCTTATTTCCTGAGCATCCTCTTGTCCATGAGAAAGAGAAGTGGGTCACCTTTATCAGGGAATCTCCAAAACCTCCACCGGAAAGGATTACATTTACATTTCCTGTAATAAACTCATCGGCAAATGTCGCTCTTGTTGTAGCAGGTGCTGGGAAGGCAGATTTAGTACATAAATCACTAGGTGATAGTGAAAGCTGTGTTCAATTAGTGATTTACTTTCCATGTTAGCAACTTTTGTTGGCTGAGGTTCCTTGCTTAAAAGCTTGAGAATCTGCTGATATTGTTCTGGATTGAAACCCTTCACAGTTGGAATATTCTGCATAAGCATATGTATTTCCTACATTTTGAGACTCAACCCCTGCATTCACATTATGAGCCATGGGTCCACTATTGTCTTGTGTTCCTCTCCTCATGTTGTTGTTGAACTTGAACTCTGGTGGATATCTATTTAATTTGTAGCAAGTCTCCCTTGTATGTCCCTTCATTTTGCAGTAATCACACAGTAGTATATTGTTCCTCCTTGGTCTCATATTAGAAGCATTTGCAGTTACAAGTGCACTGCTGTGCGTACCTATAGGTGCGCCTCCTAGAATCCCACTCTATGCAGCAGATCCATTACTCATTCTCTGACTTTCCTCTTGGATAATCATGGAATATGCCTGGTCAAGTGTTGGTGTTGGATGCATCATCAATATTTGACTTCTTTGTGGTGCATAAGTTTCATTCAAACCCATCAAAAACTTCATAAACTTCTACTGATGCAAGAACACAACAAACTGCCTGGATTTCTCACAATCACAACCAAGAAATGGGATAATTGACTCAAATTCATCCTATAGATCATTCAGCCTAGAGAAATATACGGATACACTAGAGATTCCTTGTGTCAAGGAACTTGTTTCCTTGTTCATGTGATAGATCTTTGTGGAATTTACTTTATCAAATCTATCTTTCATGGATTTCCACACCTTTTGTGCATCTGAGGAGTATATGATTCCTCTTCTGAGTTCTAGTACTACTGAACTCCTTATCCATGACTGAACTATAGCATTTCATCGTTCCCATTGCTTTAACCTAAAATTATCATTTTCATATTGTTCTTTAGTGCAGGTTCCGTCTATAAAACCTAGCTTATTCTTCACCAATAGTGACATTACCATAGACCTACTCCATTCCGAGTAGTTTTCTGTTCCAATCAGTAATTCATGTACAAGTGAGATACATGACGTGTCCGAAGGATGCACATAAAGTGGATCATTGCAATCAAGTATTTGAGTTTTTGCATGCGACGATCCAGCACTGATATAAGGAGTATCACCAACCATTTCAGCAAAAACAATCAATGAATTTTGCAGACCTCAAAAGTAGCAAACAATTTTAGAAAGTTAACCAAAAATTGGGGAAAAGGAGATTTGAAGAAAGTGACGAGACACCGGAGCTTGACTGTAAGAATCACATGGAACCGGGATCTGATACCATATCAAAATGAGGCCCTAGGTCCACCATTGTCTAGTAGTTGTTGAAAAATGCGAACAAAGGTAAAGAATAAGAAGTGAGAGAAGAGACGGGAAGAAGGAGCTTAGCTCCGCTCATATTTTCACTAACTAAAAAAAAGATGTACTGTACATTACATATATACTTAACAACTAACCAACTAACCTCCTATTTACATCTTCTAGAAGAGTACAAGTTAAATAGCCTTATGTACAACGTTTACAAGCTATTAGTTTCTACAATTAATTTATTGTGATCAAATTATATATTAAAGTAAATTATATATTAATTAATTAATTAATTAATTATGATCTATAACAAAAATTAGGTACATATCAAAACATCTTTACCAATACCAAGTTAAACGACAGTAGTACACGTGCTAGTCACTGATCCCTACCCTTTCATCGAATGCCACGCCCCAGGTACTCACCTACCCAAAAAGCTCCAGCACGTTAAGCTCTTTCTTTCACAGTCGCTGGTGGACTAGTCTATTCACACTCTCAGTTCCTATATAACATGATAGAGTGCGTAGTGCGCTTAGCCTCTTCTTCTCGCGCTTTCTCTGCTAACTTGCGCATCTCATCTACCTGATTCTCTCTTCTCCGCCGATCTCTGCTGTTGACCTCTGCATCTATTATTGGCAAGTCACTTTTTTGCTCACGCTCACATAGGAGAATCTCAGTATTGAGTACAAACTCATCGAAATCTCAGTTTACAACTAGATCATCAATGGCTAAGACTGTGACAGGGAAAAGTAAAGGGAAAGTAGAAGTGTTTGATTCTGAAGAGGAACTTGTCGTGTCTCTAGCGAAGTACACAGCTGATTTATCGGAGAAGTTTTGCAAAGAGAGAGGTTCTTTTTCTATTGTTGTTTCTGGTGGTTCACTTATCAAGTCTCTTAGGTAATTGTTTATTCTTTTCGTTGTTAATCTCTTTGGATGGTTTTGGTGTTTAAGTTAATTGAATGTTTGTGTTTGTTGCAATTGTGCGGGAAATTGGTGGAGCCACCATATATTGATTCAATAGACTGGTCGAAGTGGCACGTTTTCTGGGTGGATGAGAGAGTGGTCCCAAAGGATCATCCTAATAGCAATTATTTGCTTGCTTATGATGCTTTTCTATCCAAGATATTTGTGTCTTTCTACTACATATTGATTCTAACGCTGCCACAGTGTGTGATATCGTCTATTTTTTGTTAAAACAATTTTTCGTAGTATATATATGTTTCTTTCATTTGTTTGTCCGATCAATGGACTGAAAATGATCGGTTTATTGTGCAAATGCTTCCTTACATTTGAACAACGAGCTGCATTAATGTCTGAGTTTCTACACAGAGAATGTAAAGGTAATTTGAACAGAGGTGAAATGCACTTTATGGGGCTATCTGAGTATTGATGGAGAATAAACTCTCTTGTTATTAAGCTTTCCATTCATCAACTCTAGCAGAGGCGGATCTAGGATTTTTTTTCCTGCACCACCCACCTCCACCCCCGCAGAACCCCTCTCTCCTAAAATAAAAATATTTACTTTTTTGTTTTTTGTATTTTCAATTTTTTGTTT